TGCTAAAGAAAGAACAAGAAACAAGGGAAAATAAAGATCTGAATGAACCTTTATTAGCTTTAAGTTAGGATTCAGTGCGTTTCGTAGTTAGAATTTCAAATGCAAGATTGAGCTGTTTTCAACGATGTAAAACAGACAGAAGTGTGGACCATAGAGAGGATGTAACAGCATTAAGGTGTTGTGCATCTATGTGTATGATTGCAGTATTTTAGTGTAATTGTTGATTCTAGTTCCTTACATTCATGCACTTCCAGTGAATGATCAGTACTACTACAGGCAGAGACAATGACGCGAAGACTGTTATCCCTGCCGAATCTTACGTGAGCAAGGTTTTGCGTGTATGGAAAGAGCTTTTTTTTAAAAAAAGGTTCTCTATCATTTCGATAAAATGCATTACATTTATGTAATTAGTGTTTAGAACATGTTATTATGAACAATTGACGTGACAATGAATTTCAAGGATAGCTTAGGATGTATTGCAATTTGGCTGCTCGTGGACCTCATTTGAATTTGAGAATATGTTTATATATATTAGAGAATAACAACATTCTTAATCTATTTTTTAAATGTCATTGTTATTTGTTTACGAAATACACTTGGTCAGGTATCCTAGATGGTTCAGAAAGGCCATCGTCATATCAATAGAAATCGGTAAATGAACGAATTGTGTAAGATTCATTTAGAGATCAATCACCTTCCTTTTTCTATATTTAAGCAACACTGTAACCGTCCCTAAAACCACCCTGAGTATTTTCTATAATTTACTTATGGCCTTCGTTACATTGTTAGCCCACTAGATTTATTTTTGAAATATATAAAAACGGAAGAAAGAACTCACGAAAATACCAGTACAGTGCAATGTATAGTGAAGTTCAGCTTTTGCGGCATGTATATAGCTTTGGGAGCCAGTCTTAAGAGTCCGTGTATAAGTATAGTAAAAAGATTACTTTACGTGAAAAATGACTGATAAATATTTTAAGTTACATTTTCATGTCTCTGAGATTGTCAAACAAAAAATCAATAAACATATTTTTCTATCAGACTTTTAGTAAATTCCTCTTTATTTTAGTCATATCAGTATTCTTTCTCCGTCAGTTCCTTGTGGCTAAAGTCTGCTAGTAAAAAAATGTTTTTATTTTTACAGTGAAATGCGGACAAGATGGACAAACATATTTTGTTCGCAGGAACCGAAGTTTTAAACTGATCTAGATCCATTGAGTCAGATTTAGTTATACTGTAATAGTTGGTTTTAATGCGAAAACCTCTACTAAAGTTTAAATAATTACTGTGAAGGAAAATGTATAAGACTGAATAGTTCCAAGTTTTGTCACTGAAGTCGTAATACTTGCGAAATACTAGGCACAAATAAAAAATAACAAGTGTAGCTGTCTTTTGTGTCTAAATTACAACTCTGTAGTTGCTGTAATCGCTTCTTATTTTGGCAAATGTTTAAAACAGCTATCCATTATCCTTTTTTATTCATTGTTGTATGCAAGGGTCAAAATAATGAATTTTTTCTATTTCCATTGGTTTTTACAACATTCAAATCAAGTAAAGAATTAGGAATGATTATTAACATCTTAAATTAACTAAACTAAAATTAAATTAACGTCTTGTAATGTAAATATATTGCCTGAAATAAATGATTGTTGTTATTATTTGTAGTATTTCGCAAGTATTACGACTTCAATGACAAAGCTTGCAAGTATTCAATTCTTAGTAGAAAGTGTTGTACTATTTTTAAAATAGCAATAAATAGGCTAGTTTTTAAGACCATTTGCGGATTCAGTCTGATATATTTCCATTACACAGTAATTAGTCAAACTTTAGTAGAAATTTTCGCATCGAAATAAAATGTTTTCAATGAAATAAATACTCGGTTGTCTCAACTAACTATTAATGCTAGCCCAGAAAAAAAACATAAGTTAGAAGATTTTTATATCCATCACAGGCAAAAAGGAGAAGAAAGTACCTAGAAATGGCAATATCTCGAAACCTAGTAAACCTGTACTAAGGTCATGTTGATTTTATCTGATTAATCTGAAGCCAATCTACCTTCCGTGTCACTCCAAAGTGTTATTTTTGGAACACCTTGTAGAATTTGCTGTTTTCAATTTTGTGGTCCAAAACGTTTAGTTGTCATATTGACATTGGATCTGGCATCTCGAATTTTGCGGTTCTGACTTGAAGACCTTCAGATTCATAATCGGGTATCTTAGGCCCGTATCGTCAGTCGTCCCTACAATTGTAGGGCGCCTTTATGGCCTCCTTGATTGTCATAGTTTTCTGCTTCTCCGTGTCAGAACTCTATTTTGAGGTTATGTCACAAACATCTATTTGCATCAAATTGTGCTTGCTTTTGAGTTATATCATGTTTTATCAGCCTGAAATTTCCTACAATTTAAAAAGAAAACATATCTTTACAATAGGAGAGCGCTGACGTTGACACGGGACAAGTGTAATCTAGAAAGGAGGAAGGAAAGGAGTATGACAATCAAGGAGGCCATAAACGCGCCCTACAATATTGTAGGGACGACTGACGATACGGGCCTAAGAATCCCGCATTAACCCTTTCGGTACGGTTGCCGGATATACCCGACAGGAAGCAATATGGCCCTGCGGCCTGGTGACGGATATATCCGTTCAAGGTTATTTTGTTTAATGACACTTGTGCCGTTTATTTCCGACTCTTTTGAAAACTTACATTCACCGAGAGACTGCCGACGACTTTATCCGACGTATAACGCATTGTGGATGGCCTGCTGTCGGAATCACCCGTCAATGTCGGAAATATCCGACGGCAGTCGAACATGGTAGCATGCCATGTACCGTAAGCTTCAGAAGCGTCAGTTCGTTCGATCATGTCAAACGAGGAGGCCAGTTCGTCTCAGGGCACTAAGCGGCCGAAAAGGCGTAAAGTAGATTGTAGCGGATATGGTGGTTTAACTGAGGAGGAAGTCAATAGTATTTTAAGTCTGGTAGATGAAGATATTTACTTGTCTGACGTTAGTGAAGAAGACCCCTTTCTCGATAGCGGAAGCGAATATTGTCCATCTTCTGAGGACTCTGAGAGCGATCTGGATGAATTGGAACCGGAAAATGAACAAGAAAATCAGCAGGAAGAGGTAGGAAACGTTGAAGATAATATTATTCACCAAACAGTTCTGGAAATAATTTGGACAAAAAATGAGTTTCTACCGAAAATACACGAATTTGACATGACCAATAGCGGTGTAAAAGACCAAAACCTCGACGAAAACTCAAAGGAAGTCGACTATTTTCTTAGTTTGTTCACAGAAAACATAGTGGATGTTATTTTGGATGAAACAAATAATTATGCACGCCAACAAAATGCAAAAAACTGGAAGCATTTAGAACGTTCCGAATTTTACGTTTTTCTGGCTTTGACGTTGCTTATGCCTCGCAATAAAAAAGTGAACTTGAAGGAATATTGGTCCCAAAACCACTTACTGCTTTCACCTGCATTTAGCAAACATATGTCAAGGGACAGGTATTTTCAATTACAAAGATATTTGCATTTCTCCAATAATGAAATCGCTCCACCTGGTAATAGATTGTTCAAAGTTGAGAACGTGCTAAATATATTGAAAGAAAATTTCCAGTCTCAATTCTATCCATTTCAAAATTTGGTTATAGATGAGAGTATGATTCTTTTTAAAGGAAAACTCAGTTTTAAACAGTATATCAAGACCAAGAAACATCGTTTTGGAATTAAACTCTACGTGTTGTGTGATTGCGAAACAGGAATTGTCTTAGACTTTATAATATATTGTGGAAAAGACACTAATATAAAAGCAGAAGACAAGAATAATCTTGGTACTACAGGGGCCGTTGTTGCAAAACTTTTAGAGCCATACCCCAACAAGGGACATTCTCTTTATACGGATAATTTTTACACCAGCCCTACATTTTCAACTTTTTTGTTACAACATAAAACAAACTCCTGTGGAACTGTAAGGCAAAATAGGAAACATATGCCAGTATTTGATAAAAAATTAAAACAAGGAGATACTGACTGGAGAAGTAGTGAAAATTTATTGGCAATAAAATGGAAAGATCGGCGGGATGTTGTGATGCTGACCAGTATGCATGAAAATAGAATGGTTACTTTGCCGAAAATAAATCGATCTACATATGAAAATGTAATAAAGCCGTTATGTGTTCTGGAATACAACCGTCAAATGGGGGCTGTCGACAGATCAGATATGATGCTGAGTAGCGTAGATTGCACTCGAAAATGTCTGAAATGGTATAAGAAGTTATTTTTCCATTCGATTGACATAACATTGCTAAACGCACATGCAATGTTTTCCACAAGACATACTAAGAAGACTTCATTCGCCAATTTTCATCTAGCGGTTATTGCTCAACTTATAGAAAGGTAAAGATTTCTTTGTAGTTTTCGATCATATTTGCTAAATGCTTTTTTTTGCAGGTATGGCATAGTAAAATCTATACATTGCGATTTAGGCAATGCCAGGCTTCAGAATAGACACTTTCCGGTGTCAGTTCCACGAAAACCAGGCAGTACTAAGGTTGGATCCAGAAGATGTTGGGTTTGTTCCCATACAAAGCAGAAGCAAGCAAAAAGAAAAGAGTCCAGCTATATGTGCCCAGAATGTGACGTTGGATTATGCGTGGTCCCTTGCTTCAAAATATATCACACAGAGGCTACTTTTTAATGTTTAATGTTCTAATGTTTAATGTGTTTATGTTTTCTGTAACTTTATCTAATAAAATAATTGTTTTAATATAACTTGCTCATATTATTTCATAAAATGTGGGTAGTTTTCTTAGGTGACGGATATTTCCGACGGCAGGCCAATGACCAATGTAAAAGTCTCGGGCCGTAGGAATAAAAATGTTCAGTGACAAGCCGTACCGAAAGGGTTAAAAAAAGCTGATGCTCCATCTCTTATAAAATAGCGTAGGTACCCCAAACGGAGCATGACATCACAAATCAATACTTTTTCCTCGTGGCCCTGCCGATTTCATGTTACAGAACAGAATTCATACATCTAGCGATCGGTAGATGGCGGTAAGATGTTTTCATGCATTAGAAAACACGGTAAACTTGTTAGGTCAACTATGACGTGTAATTGTCTTTTCTTATCTAAGCAAGTCGTCAAAACGCGATTAGGGATATAAACAAATCTCCTAAATTAGTCTACAACACTAACCACATTAGTCTGAGTGAATCAGTCGCTGTGGTAAGTGGACGCTTGGCTATTTATATCCATTATGAAAATATTATTACTTGACTTGTAGTTAATTTGTTCAACAATGATTCAAGTTAAAGTGGGTACTCACGCAACCATCGATTTATTCTTGAGAAATGTGCACAATTAATAGAATTAAGTGTAGTCAAATTCCTAATATGTTTAATAATCGCTATAAGCTTTGTGCGGAATTATTTCTGTATCATAATTATCATTTTTTCTTGTAGTTTTATCTCCATATAGACGAACGTGAGATCCCGTGACAAAAAGATTTTGTGCATTCAGGCAACGACTGAGGTGCAGTTTGATCCATTTGATTCAAAGATCCAATTACTCAGTGTAAAAACCGCTGTTGTTCCCTAAATGCACCCATTTACAAGGAGAAGCGCGAGCAGTGTGTATCAACACATACTAGAAAGAGATAGAAGTCGGATAAAGAGCGAAGGTAATCACCACGTTGCCTAGCAACGGTGATGCAGACGCTCGTGAAATCTACCGCGTTGCCCATATGTTACACCAGAAAATGTTCGCAAAGGCTTCTACAATAGGTCAAGTTACTGCCAAACCCAAGACGGAGATCTTATTTAATATTTTGTTTTTCTTTTAAATATAATTATTTATTTCAATGTTGATGCGATATTTTAGAATGACCTTTGATTTCCACCGATGGTGATAAAAACACATCCTCAGTTATTACTATATTTTGCGACAGTGAGCAGTCGAAAAATGTAACAAATACCTTTATGCAATACAAATTATCACTGCCTGCGTGTAAACCATTTCCAAACCCGAAGACACTCCCCAATGAGTACTGACATAAATCGCTCATCTATGATCATAGAGGTGGAAACCTTGCCTTGGAATATAAGAGATGCGGTGTTGTTAAGCGAACCAATGATGCAATGTTGGAGAATTTGTGGCGATCCTGACTTTTGAATTAAACCTAAAATTAGGACCGATCCGGAATCGAGACTAAGTAGATTCGACACAATTCACAATTCTAAAATGTGTGCGCTCAAAATAAAACCGTTATTTGGGCGAAGCGAATAAACTAAGGCATATTTGCATCATGCATCTTAATTCAGGGAACTGGTGTAACATATTGGCAACGCGGTGATGAGCTTCGCTATCTAGCCGGCTTCTGTCTCCTTCTTACATATGTGTCTATACACACTTATCTCTCATACACATTGAGCTCAAGGCGTCAGAAAAATTTGGCTCTCAGTGTATAAGTACACAACTAATGGACAACATCGATAGGTTTTGCCAAAATTATTGGAGTATATTGAGAAAGTAATGCTCATTTATTAATCAGTTCATATGTGCAACTGCAGCTGCGTTTATGATCGATTTGTGCAATTTTCCCATGGAGCTTCAGCTTCGTACATGGTTATTTCGTATAGCATTGATTACTCGTGGACTTTTCACCATCAAAGTTGAAGATCGCCAAAACGGTCCATTCAAAGTCATAGGGTGGTGAGTGGGTACAGGGAAACAACGTATAAAACTGTTCTAACAACATGTCTCATTGATGAGTCATGTCATTATTTGATATTAGTAATTTCTGATAAATATTACTTAAAAGAATAAAACTACTTTCAAAATTACTTACAGAAACATAATTTAAGACCACGTTCTCGAATAATCAGAAATACTAAGAACCGGAAAAAGTAAAATTCACTGTTGTTACAAAATGTTTACTCCCTATAACGAACAAATACGGTCGGAGTTAATCTGAAACTTTTTGAAACCGCATTATTCACTGTACCGAAAGCGCTACCAAGATTCATCAAAATCTATGCAGCGATTGCTCAATGGAAACCAGTGACATGCTTGTTTTATCCATACACAAGGTATAAGAAACCCACTCTCGTAACCTATGAAATATTTACGATGAGTATTTTATTCATGTGAGGTCAAAATAAGTTTACTCGTATATCAAGATACCGGGGTTGTGTCAAATAGCTTTGTACATGTCTAACAGACGGATTGGCCTGAAAAAATATTCTTGGCTTGCTATATCAATAGTTTTTACAAATTCAAGGCAACTAATGCAAAACTGCAATCAGGATATAGACCTGATTTAGCATAATACGTATGGTTTGTTATTTCGAGTTATTAAAATACTTCCACACCCTGTAAGTCACTGCATCGGATGATACGATTCCCAGCAGCTGTCTGTTCTGTGTAATAAACATGGCTTCAGCCAGCCAACGGAAAATATATTATTTGGGGGTGTCCCTGGAGAGGCAGCTTTATCTAAGTTAGATTACTTTATCATCACTCCTCGAGCGTTAACTCCAACTCCGTGGATTTTCCCTTCCATATAGCAATTCTTCGGTTGGTTTCCTTCATTTCTTCGTGCCTCGTGTATGTCGAATGCATGGCAATACGGAGGAAATGTCTACAACTACAAATAGAGGATTTATATGAACACCGTTCAACTTGAATCATCAGCTAGTTTGAAACTACCTAATATTATTACAAAATCATCATTGATCTTTTTTTAAACCGAAGGTCTTAACTATGCAAACGCTACATTACTTCATAATGCGTTTTGATATGATTTTTACATCTAAATAAATAATAACCTAATAAATATGGCGAAATGTTGCCGGTATTAAATTCTCTCAAGGGTCAATAAATTTTTATTGTAAGGAAAGATGGACGAGGCCTCATTTTGTAACAGAACATTTGATGTCACTTTCGCCCTACTTGATAATATTACAATCGAAGAATATCAACAATGCAGTCAACAATAGTCTAGATTCAAAAATATAAAGAAGTTAGACCAATAAGCAGTCCAAGGTAGTAATATAGACTTGCCCATTCGAACACAGACGACCAATCATGGACGGGTGTTTCGTGCTATTTGGCAACTCCTCACCATAATATAAGCTTGGTCCGGGGTAGGACAACGGGAATGAACGCTTAGCAACTACCCTCTATCCAGAGTATAAGTTCTAACGAAATGAGATAGCAGCTTTTACCAGCCAATGACAGCTGTTTCGTGCTAGTTGGGAACTTCTCAGCATGGCGAGTGGAGCATATTTACTATAGTACCAGAATCGGCAGCATCTAGTGACCATTACTAGTGACCTTGCTGACAGTTCCAACAGGCAGCTTGCTGTTTCTACTTTCGCAGTGGTCGAGTCTGGTATCAGATAGTACTTGTGTTATCTTACTTCGATAGACATTGTACTCTGGATAAGGGATAGTTGCTAAGCTTTCGTTCGTTGTCCTACCTGAGACCAGGCCTACACCATGACGAGGATTTTCAATTGGTGGTCTATAGTCTGACGTGTGAAAGCTATATTACTAGTTCGTTCAATGACGAGTAGATCGTAAATACTGGAGTACCGGAATCGGCAGCATCTAGCGGCCACAGTGGTGACTCGGCTTATACTGCGAGGTCCAACAGACAGCTTGCTGCTTTCACTTTCGCAGCGATCGATTCTGGTAACAGATGGCACTTGTGCTACCTTATTTCGCAGTCTAAAGTGTTCCTCGGTGGGCTTAGGCTTAATAGATTTTATATAGGGTTCCCTTGATCATAGTTGTTACAGAAACTATTGTCACTAGCTTACAATGTTACTACTATGGACTCCTCCTGTGGCAAAAATTAACTAGCCAACGCAAGTCTCTATTGGTTGGTAAATGTCCTCAAGATTATATCGGTGACTAGTACTGTAAACTGTCATATTAACCACTTTTACCATACTTACAGCAATTTATCAGTGGTTACATGAATTAAATAGACACTAACACACACTCACATAAGACGTTTCGGGTAGTAGTTGTCTTAGGCCCGTATCGTCAGTCGTTCCTACAATTGTAAGGCGCGTTTATGGCCTCCTTGCCTTCGATAATATTATGTCTTCTTCGGAAAGGTACATGTATGTCCAGCTTTAAATTTCCGACATGCTGACAGTTCTGTCTAGAGGTTATGTTGTTGTTTTGACGTTCAAGAAATTTTAGACACATGAATGGAAAGCAGAACCATAATTTATTATTTTCTTGCAATCACTCAATAATACTTCGCTATTCGCTACATGAACAAATTCCACAACCTGTGATATCTTCAAGAAATTTATGAGTTAGGAAAATTAATGCACATGGATATATTATATTATAATATTATATTTGTGTGTATAAAATCCAGAAGCTTACAACCAAGATATTCTCTTGATGAAGGTTGGTAAGTTACAAAACAAATCATTGCATATATTCATATTATAGACTTATGGCATTATTTTCTGGTGTGATTCATTCAAACAGACTTTACAAGAAGTTGGTTCCTCCATGGATAACAAACATCTCCCAAATGCAATTGCATTGTTGATGTCAAGATGCCTGTTAGCAAATCACTACTGGACTCTGTGTGAAGTGTCAAGCTAGAAATATGTACCTACAATGTGTGTATGTGAAGATCGTAATTACCATTTATCATTGTTATTTCAGGATGCTTCAAATACCATATCCATGTAGGATTACCAAATATGAAGCATTACAGGGAGTAAACACAGTTGTAGCATGAATTTAAATCAGAAAAACTTCATGACATAAAATTCAACAATCAATTACAAATGGAAAAATACAAGAAAATTCTGAATCATCCAAAGAATCAATTTCCTGTTAAACTAATTTCAAACACTTCAAAGCAGAAAAGACCCATTATTTTGAAAAGTGTACCTGAAAGTCAGGCAGTTAAGCCCCAATAAGTGAGATAATAAAGTAATTGCGTTTCAGATAATTTGTCCTGTATTGTGTGTATATGCGAGTTAACATAATTTATAAAGTTATGTATATTTGCTGATCATTACAGGTGGGTCTTACCTCGCTCTGAGATACAGAAGTTGATTTGAATTTAAACTTCTAGGTATACATTGTGGTTTTAAATTACTATTTATCATTGAGACTCAAGCCACTGAGGATATCAAAAAAATACATCAGTGGCAATAACAAGATTGATGCACTGAGCCTCAAAGGAC